CTGCTGCCAAAAGGAGCAAGACTGCTCCCGCATCTGCACCAACGCCATCATCAACATCAGCCCCTACACCAGCGCCAGCAGCCATGCGAAGAAGGTTTCGAAGGGATATGGTGGGGGCGAGTGCGGATGACCCTTTCTTGCAGGCTCGTTACACGATGATGCATGCCGCCAGCCCGTGGACACAGCAGATGGATGCCGTTATTCGCACCTATAACTCGCAGGAAGCGCGATCTTTTACACGTCGAAGGGAAGGTGGGAAAACGGTGGGACTTCGTCCGTGGGGCTTGCCATTTGAAACGGTGGGTGGAGATGCTTGGTATGATACTCTTGAGTGGACTCAGGCAGGGTGGAGGTGTTTTATCCGTACGTTGCTTTCGGAATGGGACCTTCAACATGTTTTAGAATATGCTCACCTGCCTGAACCAAAACCCTGGAGGCCGAAAAACGATGAGGAGGAGGTGGAGGGGACGGAGGAGAGAAATAATGAGATTGCAAAGCGGCTCGCCTTTAACTTCGAGAATGCCAGCGTCTGGAACTACGAGGCTGAAGGGATTCCCGTCAAGCTCTGTGGTGACTCCCAGGTGGTAGTGAACTGGCTGGTGGGACAATATGTATGTACGACGGAAGTATATTGTGAGACCATTGCACACATTCAAAGTATATTATACAGATTACACTTGAACTACCGCGTGAATCTGAGGCCGCCGTCTTGGGGTTTAGATCCTTGGAAGTGGTTTTATCGTGAGGGAAACGAGCGTGCTGATGCTGAAACTTGGAAGGCCCGCGCGGGCCAGAACCATCGTACTTTCGACCCGTGCATTCATACTCTCAGAAGGGAACAAATAAAGGGGATTCGCGGCTACTTCGATGGTGGTCGTTCCTCCCACGGTGTTGGCATTGGTTGGGTTATTGACTTATTCGTGCTCCCCCTCCCTGCTCTTCAACACTCTCAAGGCTCTTGGCTATTCAACATAGCCTCCGAGGCTGCCGCCATCCCGCCGACCTGCACGGTTAGTCAAGCTGAGCTCTTGGCCAGCAAGCGCCTCGCTGAAGGTGTCGAGCACCTGCTGCTCCTCTGCTGCGGACCTGAATCCTGAGCGGGGGCTCCTTTGTCCCTGTGGGCTCCGAGCAACGCAAAAAACCAAGGTTGACGGTTTACCGCCGGCGCCCAGTTGGTCGACCTGACCAGAAAAGAAGATGTGGTAACTTTGGGTCGGTTTTGCGAAGACTTGAAAGATATTTGACAATTCATTTTAAGAAAGCAGATTTTTACTCCGAGCATTAGTATCTTAACTTTACCTTGCGAGCAGCTCAGCTCTTTCGAGACAGTTTTACTATCCGAACATTTGGAGGAACCGACGCCACGTTGACACCGAGAAATGCACATATGATGTTTTTTTCTAGAAATGCTCTGAGAAGCCGTCTGTGTTGAATCTGAGCATTCTTACGCGTGCAAGGAGCTCTACGAGGTTCCCGGCGGTGACCAGGTTGACGGTTCACCGCCGGCGCCAGTTCGGACGCACTGGCGGGCTAGTTGGCTCGAAAAATCTCGACGGAACTTTTGGTGACTCTTGCTCAGTTGAAAATTATGTTCTCCAAATTTGAACATTCGTTAGAGCTATAGTATTTTTTCCCGTGATATTCGATCTTATTCCCGCTCGCCATCTTGATCTCAGCTCGATCGGGTCAATATTACTATCGAAAATCACTGTGGCGGGATCGGCCGTTTTGAGTCATCTTGGTACGCGCTGACGGTTTTCTGAACATAACTCGAGCTTTAGGACAGCTACCCGGTAAGCACAGCTAATCGCGTTTGCCTGTTGAATCCAGAGGTCTGAACTCGGTCTGTTAGCCGAGCTAGGTCCGCAAACCTATTCGTATTATTCGAGTCATCTTGACAGGAACTCTCGGTTTTCTGTACTTCACTCGAGCTGTAGGACAGCTACAGAGCTGATATTTACAGAAAACGGTTCAGAATCATCAGTTGCGTTTGTCTGTCGAATCCAGAGCTCTGAACTCGGTCTGCTGCCCGATGTAGAATCGCGAAACTATTTGTATTGGTCGAGTCATCTTGAGAAGTGCTCTCGGTTTTCTTGACTCAACTCGTGCTGAGGGGTGCTACAGTGCTGGTGGTCACAGGAATCGATTTGAAGAATCAGGCGCGTCCGCCTGTCGAATCCAGAGCTCGGAACTCGGTCTGCTGCCCGAATTAGGTCTGCGAAACTATTGTATTGTTCGAGTCATCCTGAGAGGTCCTGTCGGTTTTCTGCACTTCACTCGGGCTGTAGGGGGGCTGCAGGGCTGGTAATGACAGGAGTCGATTCGCAGACATCAGACGCGTCCGCCTGTCGCATTCAGAGGTCAAAAAATATCACTATGAGTCGGAATGTTGGTAGGTGCTGTCGGTTTTTCTCATCTTAAGTCGAGCTAGGAAGCTCTACGAGTCTCCCGGCGGTAACCAAGGTTGACGGTTTACCGCCGGCGCCCAGTGTTACCGGTTTTTTGTATTAACTCGAGATTTAGGATAACTACAGAGCTGATACTTCCAGAAAGCGATTCAGAATCATCAGGCGCGTCTGAACTCTATCTGCTACTCGAGCTAGATACGCGAAACTTTCCGTATTATACGAGTGATCTCGACAGGTGCTGTATGTTTCCCTTAACTGAAGATTTTACAGAGCTGGTACGCATATAAATCGATCGAGTATCATCCAGCGCGTTCTACTCTCGTATCGGGAGATCTGAACTCGGTCTGGCAACGAAGATGCAAAATGAGAAAACGTATTTTTCGAGTTTTTTTCTTCACGCTTGAGAAAGCTTTTCTCGTGTGCTGCGAGCAGCGCCGCGCGAGAAAAGAGCTCTACGAGGCTCCTGGCGGTTACCTGGTTGACGGTTCTCCGCCGGATCCCAATTCTGGAGCGCTGGAGAGCTAGTTGGCAAGAAAAATACTTCGTAGAGCTCTTCGGCCTCGATAAGCTAGAGGAATTCGGGCGCGGGGTGGAGCTAGTACCTCGTAGAGCTCCTCGGAAAGATGAGCTAAGAGGAATTCGGGCGTAGGGTGCAGCTAGTTGGGAGACCCGACCTTAAGAGACAATGTGATGACTTTGGGTCGGTTTTTCTTTCTTTGCGCAAAATTTGACAGTTCGTTTTAAGAACTGGTATTCTTCTCATGTGTAGTGGGTTATGCCGCGTCTGCGAGTCAAATTCTCAGGTCCGTAGCTGGAATATTACTGTCAAAAGACTTGCAGGAACCGACTGTGTTCGGAGTCATCTTGACACGCGTTCACGGTTTTCTGTACCTAACTTGAGGTGTAGTAGAGCTACAGAGCTGATACTACAGGCACGTTCGTCTGTTGCACTCAGAGGTCTGAACTCGGTCTGCTACTCGAGCTAGGTCCGTAAAACTATATTCTTCGAGCGATTTCGACAAGTGCTTTCGGCTTTCTGTACTTAACTCAATATTTAGAAGAGCTACAGAGCTGGTACGTACATACACTGATTCAGTATCACCAGACGCGTTTGTCTGTTGTATCGAAAGGTCCGAACTCGGTCTCTAGGCGACACTATTGGTATTTCTCAAGTTCACTTTACAGGCGTTGTTGGTGTAGGTGTCGGTGAGCTAGCGAGCTTTTACGCAGAGACACCGATCTAGATACATCAGAGGCGTTGGGCTGAAGCATGCAGAGCTCTGACCAGAGACCGCTACTCGAGCTAGGTCCGCAAAATCATTCGCATGCAACAGATTTTTTCGAACTGATGGTGAAATCTTTCACTTAACTCGAGCTGCAGATGAGCTTGAGAGCTTTCCCGCACAGAAATCAGAAGAAAAAGTATATTTTTCACGTGTGTCTGCCAGTCCAATTGTCAGGTCCGCAGATGCGAACTCTCATGGGAACCGACGTTTTATGAAAACGGAAAACACGTATTTTTCGAGCTTTTTCCTTCACCCTTGAGGAAGCATTTCCCGTGTGTTCCGAGCAGCGCCGCGCGAGAAAAGAGCTCTACGAGGCTCCCGGCGGTTACCTGGTTGACGGTTTACCGCCGGATCCCAGTTGGTCGACCTGGCCCGGGCAGACAAAGTGGTAACTTTTGGTCGGTTTTGCTAAGATTTGAAAGACATTTGATCATTTATTTCGAGAAACCAGATTTTTCGCACCTGTAGTGGGTTATGCAACGTCAGCCAGTCAAATTCTCAGGTCCGTAGGTGCAGTATTACTATCAAAACACTTGGCGGAACCGACATTGGATGAAAACCGCAAAATCGTAATTTTTCAAGTTTTTCGGCCCTCGCTTCAGAAGCTTTCTTCATGTGTTCGGAGGAGCGCTGTGCAAGAACAGAGCTCTACGAGGTGCCGTAGCCATTTTGGCTCAAGGCCTCCTCGAGCGGCATCGTGCCGTGCCTGGCGTTTGGTTCTCTTCACCATACACTGTGCTTCAGTGTCTGTTTTGCCTGAGCACCGTACACTCTTATTGATAACTGGGTGATCTGTCGGCATTGAATTGATTAGTTGTTCTTGCGTGCCCCTTCCTTGTGCGGCATCATGACAGCGCAATTTTGTTCGATGAGTTTTGTTTCGACCAGTTGGACAAGAAAAACAAGGATAATCAAACTGGCGATTTGTAGACAAGCTGTATTTGATGTTATGCAGTTTAATGCTCGTGATCCATATTTTGTGGCTGATCCGAATACTTTCCCCGCGTTTGGCTGGTTTGATAACCTCGATGATTGTGCGCGAAACCCATGCCCGTTTCAGGGGAGCTCGGAGGAGCAGGTCAGTGTATTGTTGAGTTCCTTATCGGTGCCAACTGCTGGGCCAACTGATCGTGGAGAAGCTTGCTCGTCTCATTTTCGGTTGCGTATTCTCCAGATGTGGTGCAGTCTCCAGATGGTGGGCTGCAGTCGAGACTGGGCTCTGTTTCTTTTGATCCTGGTGTTCAGAATGAGGAGTTGCAGGACGAGGAGTTGCAGGATGAGGATTTGCAGAGTGAGGGGGTGCTGAATGAGAAGTTGCATTATTCTCAGCATACTGTTTTCTTGGATTCAAGCTCTGAAGTTTGCCACGCTCCATTTCCTGACACTCTGTCGGCTTCTGTTGACCCAGGTGTTCGGAAAGAGGATTTGCATGATGAGGAGGCACGAAGAAGCCCCGCGAGTCCCCGTAACCAGACGCCGTCTTGGTTACCGCCGGGTCGTAAAGATAACTGTGCATCTTCTTCCCGGCTCTGTGCAGATGAGTTGCAGAGCAATCGATCTGAGTGTCGAGCTGCCAGGGACTGGGCCCGTGCCAATGACGATGCAGTTGCTCTTTGGCGGGAATTCGAACGGCTCCCGAAAGAGGAGTTTTGGGCTCGGATCGAGGCGCCCAACGCATGCAAACTTCGAATGGGAATTTAGAGTCCCGAGGAGGCGCCGAGTCCTGAGGAGGATGCTGGCCGTGGGAAAGGCCAGAGGCACCGCAGAAACAGGAGGCGGGCAAGGGCGAAGGCTCAGGCAGTTCTAACTGGCTCTTCTATGTCAAAGTCGGCCCATCAATCTACTTGCGATCCTCCCCAACCTCCGCCCTCTTTTCACGATTCAGTTTCTTCCGCTCTACCCGCCCCAATTGTGCCTTTGTTGCCCGAAGGCGACAAGGGGACGGAGGTGGATGAGTTGCATAACTATCAATCAGAGTGCGATGAGGACGCTGATTCGGATGCGGCCTTCCACGCATGGGATAATATGGCCACCCAGCGAGTGAGGGCACATTTTTACTTGAAGCAGGCTGCTCTGCACCGTTTCTGTGAGGCTTTGCGCCGTGATGGGGGGGAGGACGCGGACATCCAGAGAACCTGTGGGCTGTGTCGGTTGGACAAGATAAGGATGCACCGTATTGCAGGGTGGTGCTTCGGACATTGGCGGTGCTTGACATTCTACTCAAGTGGTGCTCAACGGTTGATGGAACAACGCTTGCAGAGCCACATTAGGAACCTTTGTGTAACCTTGTGGCCTTAACTGTGGCCTTAACTGGCGCCTGGCGCTGTTCAAGACTTCAACTTTAACTTTCACTCTGCTTCGCCTGTGATATACAACGTAAACATGAACTAGTCGGCCTCCACGGTTTCTTCGTTGGAGGGCGGTCTGTGGAAGCATATGCTGCTGATCGGCTGTTGCTTTGATCAATGCAGTAAAACGGCATTGTATGGCCGTGGAACACGTTTTGGGTAGCGTTTCAACCAGCTCTTACACCATTCACTGACTTGTTCCAACACCTTTGGATTCTCACATGTCGTGTTGCATCCTTTTCCTTGTTCCTGTATCCTATTCCGATGCCTATGCCTCAGTGGCTCGGCAGTGTGATGATAAGAGGTGCCTTCTCTAGCTACCCTGTGCTCCGTTTGGGAGTCTTAGGGCTCAGCTGTCACAGCTGTCCGCGCCCTGACTCAAACTCAAAAAACCTGGTTGACGGTTTACCGCCGATTCCAGTCTCGACGGACCTTTCGGTGACTTTTGGTCGGTTGAAAATTTGGTTCTCGAAATTCCTCAATTCGTTTGAGCTCTAGTATTTTTTCCCGTGATATTCGATCTTATTCCCGCTCGCCGTCTTAATCTCAGCTCGATCGGGTACCTTTTACTGCCAAAATGCGCGCCGGCGGGATCGGCCGTTTCGGGTCATCTTGACACGCGGTGACGGTTTTCTGAACATAACTCGAGCTATAGGACAGCTACAGAGCTGATATTTACAGAAACCGATCCAGAATGATGAGGCGCGTTTGTCTGTTGAATCCAGAGGTCTGAAATCGGTCTGCTGATCGAGGTAGGTCCGCGAAACTATTCGTATTGTTCGAGTCATCTTGAGAGGTGCTGTCGGTTTTCTGCACTTAACTCGGGCTGTAGGGCGGCTACAGGGCTGTTAATCACAGAAACCGATTCGGAGACATCAGGCGCGTCCGCCTGTCGCATGCTGAGGTCTGAAATCGGTCTGCTACTCGAGCCAGGTCCGCAAAACTATTCGTATCGCTCGAGTCATCTCAACAGAGACTGTCGGTTTTCTGTACTTAACTCGAGCTCTAGGGTAGCTACAGAGCTGATGCGCACTGAAACCGATGCAGAATGATCAGGCGCGTTCGTCTGTCGCATCTAGAGGTCTGAACTCGATCTGCTACTCGAGCTAGGTTCGCGAAACTATTCGTATTTTTCGAGTCATCTTGAGAGGTGCTGTCGATTTTCGCACGTAACTCGGGCTGTAGGAGAGCTACAGAGCTGATGCGCACAGAAACTGATTCGGAATCATCATGCGCGTTCGTCTGTTGCATCCAGAGCCCAGAGGTCTGAACTGGGTTAGCTTCTCGGGCTAGGTCCGCAAAACTATTCGTATTCTTCAAGTCACCTTGACAGATGTTGTCCCTTTTCTGTATTGAACTCGGGCTGTAGGAGAGCCACAGAGCTGGTGCGCACAGAAAACGATCCAGAAGCATCAGGGGCGTTCGGCTGTTGCATCGAGAGGTCTGAAATAGCTCGGGCTGAAAAACTATTCGTTGTCTGCTATTTCTCAACATCATATATGGTCAGGAAGCTCTACGAGTCCCCCGGCGGTAAGAAAGGTTGACGGTTTACCGCCGGCGCCCACTTTCTCTCCGGTATTTGCTCTCCGGGTTTTGGACGCTACCAAGTTTTCTTTTACTCTCCGGTCTATGTTCTCCGGGTTTTGGACGCTACCAAGTGGGCGCTACCAAGTGCTTCAGAAGCCCCTCCCCTTAGCTAGTTGCTGGAAGCTTAAGAGTACCTCGTATAGCTCTTCGTCATCGATGAGCTAGAGGAATGCCGGCGCGGGATGGAGCTAGTTGGCCGAGCCGACCAAAAGAGACAATGTGGTAACTTTGGGTGGGTTTTGCGAAAATTTGAAAGATATTTGGCAGTTCATTTTGAGAAACCAGATTTCCGCACCTGTAGTGGGTTATGCCGCGTCTGCCAGTCAAATTCTCAGGTCCGTAGCTGCAGTATTACTACCATAATATTGGAGGAACCGATGTTGGATAAATCAGAAAAACGTGATTTTTCGAGTTTTTCGTATCTGGCTCCAGAAGCTTTCTTCATGTGTTCCGAGGATCGCCGTGCAAGAAAAGAGCTCTACGAGGTTCCCTGGCGGTACCTGGTCAACGGTTTACCGCCGGTTCCCAGTAACAACCTCGTGGAGCTCTTCGGCATCGATGAGCAAGAGGAACTCCGGCGCGGGGTGGAGCTGGTTGGTCGACCCGACGGGAAGAGACAATGTGGCAACTTTGGGTTGGTTTTGCTCAGATTTGAAAGATATTTGACAATTCATTTTGAGAAAGCAGATTTTTGCACCTGTAGTGGGTTTTGGCGCGTTTGCCAGTCAAATTCTTAGGCTCATAGGTGCAGTATTACTATCAAAACACTTGGAGCAACCGACGTTGGATAAAAACAGAAAAACGTGTTTTTTCGAGTTTTTCGTCTCTCGCTCCAGAAGCTTTCTTCATGTGTTCCAAGGATCGCCGTGCAAGAAAAGAGCTCTACGAGGTTCCCGGCGTCGACCAAGTTGACGGTTTACCGCCGGTTCTTTTCCGGGGCGCTTGAGAGCTAGTTGGCAAGAAAAATATCGACGGACCTTTTGGTGACTTTTAGTCGATTGGCTGAAAATTTTGTTCTCGAAATTCAACCATTCATTAGAGCTCTAGTATTCTTTCCCGTGATATTCGATCTTATTCCCGCTCGCCGTCTCGATCTCAGCTCGATCGGGTACCTTTTACTGCCAAAAAGAACACGGGCGGGATCGGCTGTTTCGAGTCATCTTGACAGGCGTTGTTGTTTTTTTGTACTTAACTCGAGATGTAGAAGAGCTACAGAGCTGATGCTTACAGAAGCTCCTTAAAATCATCAGGCGCGTTCGTCTGTTGCATCCAGAGGTCTGAACTCGGTCTGCTACTCGAGTTAGGTCCGCGAAAGTATTCGTATTATTCGAGTGATCTTGACAGGTGCTGTTGGTTTTCTGGACTTAACTCGAGATGTAGGACAGCTACAGAGCTGATACTTACGGAAACCGTTCAAAATCAGCAGGCGCGTTCATCTGTTGCATCTAGAGGTCTGAGCTCGGTCTGCTACTCGAGCTAGGTCCGCGAACTTATGATTATCCGAGTCATCTTGACAGGTGCTGTCGGTCTTATGAAATTAACTCGAGCTGTAGGACAGCTACAGGGCTAATACTTTCAGAAACCCATTCAAAATCATCAGGAGCGTGCATCTGTTGCATCCAGAGGTCTGAACTCGGTCTGCTTGCTACTCGAGCTAGGTCCGCGAACCTATTCGTATTAGTCGAGTCATCTTGACAGATACTGTCGGTTTTCTGTACTTAACTTGAAATGTAGGAGAGCTACACAGCTCGTGCGAATCAATCGATTCAGCATCGTCAGGCGCGTGCGTCTGTTGCATCTAGAGCTCTGGGCAATAGTGACATATATCTCAAAGACTGAGATCAGTCTGCTATTAGCGCTGAGACTGAAAAACTAATTCTTTAGACATAATATATGGCAAGGAAGCACTGCGAGTCTCCCGGCGGTAAGAAAGGTTGACGGTTTACCGCCGGAGCCCAGTGCTTCAGACGAGCCCCTCTTACCTCGTAGAGCTCTTCGGCAACGATGAGCAAGAGGGATAACTCGTAGAGCTTCCCTTAGCTAGTTGCTGGAAGCTTAAGAGTAAATCCGGGGCGCTGGAGAGCTAGTCGGCAAGAAAATCTCGACGGACCTTTTGCTGACTTTTGCTCGGTTGAAAATTTTGTTCTCGGAATTCAACCATTCGTTTGAGTTCTAGTATTTTTTCCCATGATATTCGATCTTTTTCCCGCTCGCCATCTTAATTTCGGGTCGATCGGGTAGATATTACTGCCAAAAAGCACTCCGGCGGGATCGGCCGTTTCGGGTCATCTTGACACGCGGTGACGGCTTTCTGTACATAACTCGAGCTGTAGGACAGCTACAGAGCTGATACTTACAGAAACCGATTTAGAATCATCAGGCGCGTTCGTCTGTTGCATCTAGAGGTCTGAACTCGGTCTGCTGCTCGAGCTAGGTCCGCGAAACCTATTCGTATTGTTCGAGTCATCTTGAGAGGTGCTGTCGGTTTTCTGTATTTAACTCGGGCTTTAGGGAGGCTACAGGGCTGGTAATTACAGAAACTGATTCAGAGACATCAGGCGCGTCCGCCTGTCGCATGCAGAGGTCTGAAATCGGTCTGCTACTCGAGCTAGGTCCGCAAAACTATTCGTATTGCTTGAGTCATCTCCACAGGGACTCTCGGTTTTCTGTACTTCGCTCGAGCTCTAGGTGAGCTACAGAGCTGATGCGCACAGAAACCGATACAGAATAATCAGGCGCGTTTTTCTGTTGCATCCAGAGGTCTGAACTCGGTCTACTACTGGAGCTAGGTCCGCGAAACTATCCGTATCGTTCGAGTCATCTTGAGAGGTGCTGTCCGTTTTCGCACGTAACTCGGGCAGTAGGAGAGCTA